TAGCTGAACCTTTGTTAAAAAAAAAAAAAAAGGAATTCTGAAAAGTGATGATTTTAACCACTTGTGAATAGTAGGGGTTTTTTAAACCGCTTTTTGTAACACTGCTTCAGGAAGCAGCTCCCGTGCCCTTCACTTCCCTCTCTCTTTCTCTCCTTCTGTCCCCCCATTCCCAAACAAGGAGGTGAATTCCCTAGATGCAATGAGTGACTTTGTGATGTGATTTGAAGAGAAAACGTAAAACCTCCCAGGCTCCTTTTTCTTCCTTTTTCTCTATTCTCTTTTTTTTTTTTTTTCCTTTAATTTTTCCCTGTCATCAAGGTCAAGTAGGAAAACATAGAAAAGGGACAAATTTTTACGTGAAAAGCAGACACCTCCTCTCTCCTCGTTGCTTCTCCCCACATTAGGAGCACTGGCTGATCAGCTTAGGCTCAGATGTGTCACTCTGTCCGCTCCAGGCTCACTTCTGGTGTATTTATAAACTGAATTACTGACCTGCTTTTCTTTCTTGTTCAAATGGGACCTGCTGCATTCTTTAAATATTCCAACTCCAGGGCCTTTAGAAGAGGAGATGGCTCAAAAGAGCACTGTAGGCAGCAGTGGGTGAAGCAAGTGGGAAGAATTCAGATGCAAGGTCAGTTTATTTTTGGTGTGGCTCTAATCCTCCCTCGTGGACTGCATGTGCCATTTGAATCAGTCATTTTTCAAAAGGACACAACCCAGCAGGCCAAAGGAATCTTTCAATTAAGATTGCAGTTAGAAGCTAGGGAGTCTACTAATTGATGAGGTTTTTGATCATCAAAGTTATCCTGCCCTGTCGATAGAAGCTGAGCACCCTTTCTCACCCAGACTCCACAGTGCTGCTTACTGGTCTGTAAAAAAGTACACGGTAGCTGGGTTTGTTTGATTTTATTTTTTAGTACAATGACACGTCACACAGACTGGGTGAGTTTTGGTGTCCACAGGTGCCTTTTATTGATTCTTCCGGTTTGTATCTGGGAGAAGCAACAAAGTGTCTCCAAAAGTACACAGTAGCTGGGTTTGCTTGATTTTATTTTTTTAGTACAATGACACGTCACACAGACTGGGTGAGTTTTGGTGTCCACAGGTGCCTTTTATTGATTCTTCAGCTTTGTATCTGGGAGAAGCAACAAAGTGTCTCCAAATCAAGCTAGCCAGGTTTCTCAAGCATTAGGGTCACGAATTACCTTGTACATGTTTACAGGCTGCTTTGTGCACTTCAAGCTACAGCCTTTGGAAAGAAGAGATGGGATTTTTAGTTTATTTTCCATTCTTTTGTGTAGCTCCCTTCTTGTTTTCTTCTTTTCTATCCTTTCCCTGAGTCTGTCATGTTTAGCAGCAAGCTGTTTGCTCACAAGGAAGTTGCCAGGGGTTTAAAGAATCCAAGTCCAGCCCTTGGACCTAGCAACAGTCCTGCATCACCAGATATTTTACCACAAGGGTCTGAAAGGTGAATTTGGGAATGAGCAAGTCCTTGGATACCAGCTGGCATTTCCTTCTAGGTGGATGTGGGTCAGCCAGGAAAATGGGTATCCTGCTGCTTGGTAATGTCCCATCAGGGCACATGTGGGTGCTGTTATTTGCAAATTCTCCCTGTCCTCTCTGGAGGGATGCAGGAGAGCTGTGGCAGTGGGTGGTGGTTTCTTCAAGGCAGATTGTTGAAAGAAGCCTGGCATTGATTCTGGTGGCTGCCTGTTCCTGCCCATGGGGCTTGGGAGAAGTTCCTTGGTGGCACCTCACCTGAAGAGGTGAGGTCTAAGGGCAAGCTCGGCCCTGCTGTCACCTTTCATCTTGGACAGGGCAAATGATCTCACAACTACTTTTACTCTTTGGGCACTGCCTCTGAGCGCTGCTGCTCTTGATGCATACAGATTCTGGAGAGCTTTGGCACTGGATTGCTTTTCCTCTCCAAAGGTTCCAGAAAGAAGAAGTTCAAAACCAAAAACTCCAGTGGGTGTGTTTAAGGGCTTTTGAGTTTGGGATAATGATCCTCAGCTCATTAGATGGTAAGGGATGTGCAAAGAGCCAAACACCTGTGAGCCATCCCCTTCTCTGCACCTGGGTAGGATGTGTGTGGGATGAAGAAGGGGCTCCAAAGAGGATGACGTGGAGCTTGCTGTGAAGAGGAATGCAAAGCAAACAAAAACCCCACTGCCTTCTCTGCACTTTGACTGTTCTCTCAAGCCATATGGACTTTGCTTTAATTACTGAACTGACAAAAATTTGTTTGCAGTCTGAGTTTTTTGTTTCTTAGACAAAATTGTCTATGTGACTTTCTGATTTGTTTTTTTCCTCCTTTGTTATTTCCTGTGTCAGATTACGTATTTTAAACACCTTGCTTTATATACATGTGACATAGCAATGCGAGTGCTGTTGGAATTTTCATGGCGCTTATCCAACATGTAGGAGAGGTAGTGCTACAGGAGGAGCCCTTCAAGGACCACTCAGGACTTAGGGATATAGATTAGTCGAAGGTAGATCAAACACCGAAGAGCTTGCTCCAAAGGAAAGTGTAGTGCGAGTAGCTCCGTATGTCCTGAATACTGCCAGATCTGAATCGATGTAAGGTGCAGGTACTCCCTGGGGCTGATCTGATACCACATTGAGCAAAAACACCAAGGAAACCATGGGGAATAAGGGCAATGGACTGTGCGGCCCCTGCTCCACTGAAGGATGGCATGGGGAGCAGCACGATCTATACAGAACAAGATGAGACTAGTCCTTTTTTTGTCAGAGCAAATAAAAAGCCTGAGCTTGCTGAGGGCCTGCTGAGTTGTCTGTACAGCCCTTTCTGCCTGCTGCCGAAATAACAGGTGAGGTGTGATTCCTTTAGGAACTGTTGATCCAAACAAAGGTATTTCTCTTCTATTGCAGTCCACGCTATTGTGAGTCTTGGTTTTGTTTTGTTTAGGAATTGGCTTTTCTTACATGTGGGTTTGCTGTTGTCGGGCAATTGCAGAGTGTGGAAGCGCGCTGCCCTGCTCACCCCTATGATGAGCTTCGGGTGTGTGTTCTGCTGCCCAGGATCCCATAATAACTACACGTGTGATGCCTGTGCCGCCTTGTTAGCATGCTGTACTTGTAAAATGTGATTAATGGGTAGGATTTATTTACCTCAGATATCAGGTAAATTGTTCCATCTAGAAAGAAACACTCCATCAGTTAGCAAGAAAGCTCTCTTTCACAGCTGTAATCTTTGGGAATCATAGTCTTGAAATACGACTTTTAAACATTACTTGTCATGTTACAATAACTTCACCCATCAAATCCACTTCGGTTTCCATCTTCCTGTTTAGAACAGTGTTGAAAAATGAAGGCTTATATTTAAAACACCTTCTTAGGATATTTTATTTGTATTTATTTATTTACTTTCCCATGTTTCCTAGGTCTCTTGGTAGCTGTTACTAAAAAATAAAAACAGTGTCATGAAATGACCAAGGGAGACGTTTCAGGGAACAGTTTAATAGGAGCTCATTTTTCATGCAATAGCCATGGAAATACCCAATTTCCTGAAGGAAAAAAGTGCCCAAGTCTTCACCCCTCCTTCCAGGGCTGAGATGACACCAGCCACCACTGTCCGTGATGCTCCCAGCACTCCCAACAGCACCAAACCTCAGATTGTCCCTGTCATAAATCATGTGCAAAAGTGCACGTATGTGAAGGAGCAGTACTGTTCCAGCCCCCTCTAAGTGGAGCATTTTATCCCCTCAAAAGTCCACATCACACATGGGTCCCACACCCTTGGGTAGGGTATTTTCCATTCCCATCCAACCATCCATCCGATGTTGGTGCATGGCCAGTGCTGCTTGGGTGCAAGCGGCAGCGGTAACAAAGGGACAGGAGAGGGCACTGTTCTACTCTCATCAGTGACAGTCTCTTTTTCCCCACCCTGGGAGTCACCCAGGTGAAACCCCTTGGTGGGGTGGGCAGGGAGAAGTGAGAGCACAAAGCAAAGGGTTTCATCAGCATTTACTAAAGGAATCACACTGAGGCCAGTGATCACAATTTTGGAAGCACTTGGCATTACTGAAGAAAAAAAAAAAAAGTACAGAAACTAATCTATTACCCAAAAAGATTTTTTTTCCTCTTCATTTTGAGTGTTAAAGCCAGTGATGCGTTGCAGATGGGCCAAGATCTCATTTTTCCTGCTTATACCCAGGTCTCTGCCAGAAGCTGCTGTAACAATTGTTTAGAATAAATATCCAAGTCTGTCTGGACATGGGGATACATTTATTATCCTTGTCATTGCTTCCCTCAAGAAATCCATTGGGTCATCCAAAGATTATCCAATTTGCTCTCCAAAAGGGGAGGAGAGCGAGCTGTTTATACATACAGAGCACTGGTGTCTTCTCTCACTTGCTTTTTTCAGATAAGCAAGACAGCTTGTTTCAGAAAAGGAATTTATTAGAAAACATAAAAAAAACCCCTAAACACAAGAAAGTTAACCTTTGGCAGGGCCATTAGAAATCTTGAAATCCTATAATCCTGTGACATGTAAGACTGAATATGATCCTGAGACCTTCTATCCTTAGTGATCTTCTTTATCAATAGCAGCCAGGAGGGCACATGCAAGGAGGGGTTGTGTTTGGAGAGGAAAAGCCATCACAGAACAGTTGCTAGGTGGGCAGGCTGGACTGCAAACAGCGGTGTTCAACGTGGAGTTCCTGCTAGTTCAATCACATTTCTTAGGTTATTTTTCTAGGTTTTTGCCAGCATGTGTAGAGTCCGTACATCATGACTAGGGGTCATGTG